CAGGTACATAAAGAGATGAAGTCTAAGAGGAAAAGTTTGAAACTGTCTGAACAGTCCCCATTACCATTAAGGTTTAAGTCTGCATTTTCTTCCATTCCATGTAAAATACTTCCTTAGAGTTGTCAGTTGCGTACATCGAAGCGCCTTCGGTTTGGCGAAAGATGAAGCTTGAGCAATTGTAGCACTGAAGACATCCAAGTTAGGCCAAGTAGTAACACTATGCAGCATCGTGCAATAATCCCAATCTACCTATCCCATGTTATTGTTATTAGTGCCGTGGTTTTGGCACCGTACTTGTCCGCAAACCGGTGTTATATATATCTATATATATATATATATTCAAAATTCAAGCAAATCTACATTGAAATCTTAAAATATTCCTATCAATGCATATGAACGAATTCAAAAAGCAAAGAAATTTCCTTTCGGTATCTCGCTTCAGGCACTTATATATATAGTTCGATTAGTCAGTAGAATAATACAAGACCTGTGCTGAAGTTGAGTGAATATCTGTGTGCAATATGTTGACAAGCTATGGGGTCACTATAATTGAATAGGGAAAAATTGGATGAAAAATGTTTGAACTGGACACGATATGCAAGGTGTTATTCAAGAATGAATAAAACAAGTGTGCGAAAAAAGACAGTAACTGAGAAGTGGGGGGAGGGGAAGTAGGTGTTCCATAGAGTTATAGGTAATTGTTCTTTATGGCCATGGTAACAGAAGCGCCTAAACCAGATTACGTTGCTTGCACAACTCCGGCTTCATGATCCTAATTACTATGGATTCCGCAGTTGTTGGGATCTTCTTACGTAGTCCTTTGCCGTGGTTCTGAGATGCAGTGAAGAAACCTGTAAATGATGTTTGGGTCAATCCTGTGTCCCCCGTCAACCAAACGTTGCAGAATTGAGCTGGTCAAGCTTCCTACTGTTCCTTTTTGAAAGGAGGCCGGACAATGTTCAGATATTCTTTTGGACAAACGCCTCGTTGTGTATCCGATATAGCACTACAAGTGCACGTGAACTGATATAGAAAAAAGATTGGGACTGGTCAGAAAATTTATCCTCGAGTTGCTGAACGATGAATGGCTCAGTCCTCGATGAGAGTCTTAAATGTGCCGCGGGGAAACAGTTGGCTTTGGACAACTGATATTCCAGGACCTCTAATACCCTGTAGATAACGTTGACAAACACCTTTCTAGTCGGTTGTGCGCTTCCATTGGTTGGTTTCGATTCCATATGTTGTCGAACAGACGCCTCCGGGTATCCGTTTTTCCTGAGGATGTCTCTTATGTAGGTCAGCTCTTCGTTCAGAGTCTGCGGACTACAAATATTCTTTTATTCTCGGTGTTTGATGCTAAAGGACTGACGGAGTGCGGTTGTGCTATCATATAATACCTTATATTTGCACGTGTTTATGAAGGGGACAAGCATTGACTTAATGCGGGAATAAGTGGATGCGTATTATCGGACTAAATTTTACTGATGCTGCAGAAGAATTGTTATAAAGAAGATGACAGGCATGTGATATTGTCCCTATGAATTTGCGAATGAACCTCTAATCCTTAAAATGCACACCACTACAGTTAAAGAAGAGCAATATACTGCATGGGATAGAATGCATGCATGTAGAAAACCAGCAATAAGTGATTGGGGGACTGTGATGATCCTAGCCCACGAAATAACGCCAACCACGGTGCGGCGCGTTACAATTTCTAGTCAAAGAACCACCGGTAAGTAATATCAGCCAATCAGAAACCGGTCGGTTCGAATGAAAGCATGTAGACCATGGGTGAAGACCTAATTAACCAATGAAATTTTTTGTACATATTAGCCAATCCTATCGATTTTTCTCAATAAACGAACCGCTACTTTCGTGGCCTGCGTATCGGTGACGGGAGATTCCAGTCTACGATTGCTAGCGCGATTCTGTGCTTCAGTTGCAACCATAATTCGTGATCTGCAGTCCGGTACCTATTTAAACACTACAGGGTCACATAAAAAGAGTGTATGTATTTTCCCCACTTATTTAATATGAGAACACCACATAAGGCAATGTAATAAAGTAACTCCATCTGTAACTTTTAGGGAACATTATGCAACTCGGAGCATTGGGTTCTATTTCTGCTCAATATCCATCTTGAGCAATGGGAAATAGGATATCGATTTAGATTATCAAGCTTGGATTAGCCCATTCGATTTTTCAGAGGCACAAGGCACTCTTGATGGTCTTGGGTGTGGGTTTCCCTTCTTGAGAGGTCGGTAATTCATCACGAGGTAAATGCATTCACATGCGATGGAAATGTTTGTGATAACCGACAAAGTGCACTGGACAGCTATTTCGTCCTGTTTGGAACTCGATCATCCAAGGAGAGAAACCCACACCCAAGTCCATCAAGAGCGCCTGGTGCCTCTTAACAATCAAATGGGCTAATCCAAGCTCGCTAATTTCAAATTGAATGAACCATTCGCACCAGGTGATAACCGTCTACCATGCGGTTTAAGGGTAAGGGTTTGAAGTCCCAGTCCGAAGAATCGCGGTTTTAGTCCTGACAGAGACACGAAGAAGTGCGCACCGCTGGCGAGTCCCAAACAGGACGAAACAGCTGTCCAGTGCTCTTTGTTAGTTATCACAAACATTTCTATCGCATTAGGATATCGATGTTTTTAGAAACATTAATCACTGACTAGAAGGAGGAATCAGAAGTCTACAGGGAAGACTCCAGAATGTGTCACACTTTTGCAAATGGGAATTGCATGGTTACCAGTTGTGAATTTCATTGTGTAGAAAACCCCTGAAGCAATTACGAAAATATAAATTGTTTCTATTGTGTATGCAGCCAACAAGAATAAATAAATATACTAATAAAATTCCAGTATTTGTTTAAGCTTCCTACGGTGATTTTACAGTAAAACTGCGAACGCATATAACTTGAAATTAGGTCCAAAACCCTGGATCAGTTGTGCATAAGAAAATTGGCCACTTCCAATAATGAAATAGTTATGGTTACTTTGAGAAACAAGTGTCGTACGTCCTTAGATCAGGGCCGCGCCGTCTGACCAAGCCGGTGTGAGAAGGAAATATCTCTTCCATGGAGTGTGCACAGAATAGATTTTTTTTATCTTATCGCCAAGTTGGCGTTGAGATTTTTAAACACAATGACCAATACACCTTCAGGGGACACGTTTGAATGTGTTTGACGTTGGCCTCCAATCAGGTGTGTGTGCGTGACTACAGCAACGAATGTTAATCAGTTCGGATGATATACAATACTGTTCTCAATCCAAACACACGCACACAAGACATGCTCACTGTGGGATTTAGATGACATTCACGGACTGTAGTTTTCCACTCACTTGGATTACGTGATCATAACTCGTGTGTTGGTCTTGAAGCGTCTTTGTGGTCCTGTCCTATTCACACGGGTCATGGCGTGCCTTTTTCTCTGAGAGATCGATATACGAGCTTCACTTTACTCGTCGTTCTGACTGATTATGTCTTTTGGGCTGACTCTTCGCTCTTGAACAGATGCGTTTCAGCACAAATCTGTTAGAGGTTTGACAGAAATAGTGAACCCAACTGTTTGCATGTCCAGTCCTCGATTCGGTTGTTCATTGGTTGGTTTCAATGCATCCCTTGTGTTTTGATGTACACAGTTAAACTTCGCTTTTCTAGTACTGCATACCTCGAAAGCGATCTAGATCGACGTATGGATCCAACTTCTTTTATAGCATATTTCGAAGCTTCATCATGGAGCCATGAACTTGACTATTCTGCAAGCAGTAAATTGTTTCCGAAAACAGTAAACCGAAAATCCCGTCTTTAGAGTACACATATCAATCCTATTTTAAAAAATCTAGTTAACCGTTAAAATTCCGCACAAGCGATAAAACCATGATACAGAAAAATCAAGACACCCTCTATATGTCTGAGTTGCAGGTAGAAAAATTGTTCCCAAGTATGATAGAAACCAAATACATCCACGTGCAAAATGCTACCAATAGCGCTTTTGGCTGGGATTTGTCTGTTGATTACCCTAGGGGGAGGAAAACATATCACATCTTTAATACACAAATCGGTCGATCACGAGTTTTTATAACTCCACTGAAGGATCGAATTCACTGTACAGGAGATTTCCTGAAACGGAGAGCACAACTTAGTTCCACCGGGCGCGTCCTCAGTCCGCGAATGAAAGGGTGATCAACCCGATGGCTAACCACAAATAAGTGAATCCATCTCACCAATAATCCTTCATGGATGATCAGATTATGTTTGGACATGTAGAGAAATATACTTTTATTAGCGACCCCTCTGAAAAAACCCAGTGATGTGATAATAACTATGTACGTGTATGTGAATATAGTGCGCCAGTACAATACGGTAAAAGCTCAATCATCAACCTTTACTTACACGACAAGGACCAGCGACAGGTGAACTGCCCGAAGAAAAGCCCTTGGTTGTTCCAATTTTCAAGTAATCGCTAACCAACCCAAAACACTTGTTTAGTTGACGGCCTTCAAATGTTACACGAACTGGCTCTTCTGCGTGTGCCTCTGTCTACAAAGGCCAGAGCTGCACTCACGAACAACAGCGGATGTTAAAGTTTTGTACGGCATCCTGTTTCAAGGTTTCCAACACGGAACACGGAGCGTCAATTTACAGTATTCGAGCACGTAACTTACACAACAGAATGAGCCTTTTAACTATAGACCGAAATAGGCCGGGATCACTACATCGATAAGATTGTGAAATCAACAAGGTACAAAGAAGCTCATGAGTAAACGCATGAGACGGATAATATGCATGATAAATAATAAATTACAAAGCACGTCGTGAGAAACTGAAATGAAAGACAAGAACTATTACATGCAAGCACACAATTTTGTCTCGAGCAAAATTTGAAGTATTTGACTGAATAGACAAAAGGCTCAATTTTGAAAAACCGACTGATGAAATAAAAAACAGTTTTTTGACTAGAACGAAAGTAAGGACGAAGCTTGTCAAACATTTTTTGCAATCAAAAGCACTTCGTTTCGGCGATTGAATAGTCGAAACGGTGGGTCGTATCCGGCAAAGAAGAAGGGATCCGTTTGGTAGGCTTTGCCCAACTCATCCAATACGGTGCCCAGTTTGCGAGCATTTTCGCATAGTTTGGAGTCGTTTGAAAAACCACCGTAAGTGCTATCGGGATCACACGGGAGTCATACGTATGGGGTGGGAAAATGTAAACAGGGATTAGACAAATACCAGAAACAGAATATAAGCCAATGGCAATGTGAATTATGACGCATGACAATGTATACTGGTGCCAATGTGTTGTTCCACTAGACCGCTACTCGTTCCCAAGAGTCGTGGATTTGAATGCAAAATGTTTCGAAAATCTTCTACACTTGCACGTGAACACATGAGTGAAAGGTTTTTTCTACTGATGCTTGTATTACTTTATTTTATTCCGAGTGACTTCACAGAGGGGCTGAGCTGGCTTTATAGGTATCCTACCAGCATCACTTGGTTCTTTGAACGAGGGCACACTTCAAGTCTTTGTACAGCCAAACGCCAACTGTTAAGGGTAGGGTGTACATCACCGCGGTTCGTAGCGTTCTGCCTTACGGTTGCGAGACCGGGCTCCTCCGCGTTGAGGATGCTAATCGACTTTCTTTATTCGACCACCGATGTCTCCGAAGCATTGCTCGTATCTGGTGGGAAAACCGGGTAAGTAATGACGAGGTTCGNGTAATCGCTCCACACCGCCTCCGATTGCTTGGTCACGTATTGCTTATGCCTGCCCATCGACTACCTTTCCGTGCTCTCTTCGCACGTGCTGGAAGAAGCGACGGTCAGACCATGAAATGGGCTAGAGGCATGAAGAGGCTGGTTTCAGCTTTGGCCTCGGTTGGTGCAGCCCACATTCCAGTTTGGGGCCCAAGGGATGAGGATTGTCGTTGGTTAGAGACGCTGAGAGAAATGGCCCAGAATAGAACTCAGTGGCGAGAATGCTGTCGAAATCCCGTGCCCCGTAAAAAAATATCAAAAGGTGTACGGTGAAACACAAAAATTTTTGTTATTCCAGATATCTTCCATTTTCCCGTGTTTACCTGTTACACCGCCTTTTTACTCTGTTCTGCACTCCAATCTACCTATCCCCTTTCATTGTTATTGCGTTGACACCATGCATGTCTACAAGCCGTTGGTAAATTAAATAAAATTAAAATTAAACTGTTAAGTAACCGAGTGTTTATAGACATTGAGCTAAACACTTTATCCTCTCCGAACGCTAAGGAGGAGGTATCTTTGTTTACTGTGCGCCACCTCACCGGGATTGTAGGCTTTAACCTGATCTAGCCCAACTATCAAGCAACTCACCGGAGTGTGATAGCTCAGATTCTGAAAGAATGAGATGAGAGTTGGATAGACAGCTTTGCTTTCGTTCGGTTCATTACAATGCCTAACCTATCGCATCTACAAAACCCGAGGCTTAGGTTACCGGTTTCTTCCACTGAACAGCAGGCCCTCATGACCAAGGGGTTTACTCCGTCTTCTGTTCATCACACAGATGTGTAACAAAAAAACGATGGAGGACAAGGAGGAGGAAAACGCTCCAAGGATATGACAACCTATCAGCTGGGACGTGCTACCATTAGACTTTACGTGATTAGGAAAGAAACTAGTCCAAACTATTCAGGAAGCTTTTTGCTCTAAACAAATTATTGAACACACTGAACGCCGCAGCATGCATAGAAACCGAAACAATCGTACCGGGTCCGGAGATTGGTAAAATAAACAATCTTTTCCATGATTGTTCCGTTCTAGCTACCACCAGAGGTTCAAGCATTGAGTGAGCACTCAAAACTGCGTCGATTTGACACAGTGCGATACAGTTTGTGATCATGAGCGTACATACCTCAATAGTGCGAACCGGTTGCTATGATGCCAGTAAACAGTGCATAACTCACCTGACTAGAAGAGGTGGAGTAAATTGAAGACAATATACAACTTAAAGTACAATGCTGACCGAAATACAACGGAGTGTGAATCAGGGTCAAGGTCATACAGCAGTAGCAACCTTTATGTGGCATATGATACAAAGAGGCTATAGCAAAGGTCGAAACAAGAGCAGTGCAGTCGGAAAGAATACAAAACTCAACAGATAAAGAAAAAGACAAATGTGCAATATAGGAATAACGCAGAAGGGACTTTCACACCAATGGGTTCTACAGACAATGACCAATATGAGGATTCACCGATGATATCCAATCCGGTTCGTTCAACCCTAAATTCGACGAGGGGAAACTGCATCGTTTTAATAATTAACTAGGTACTGTGATGAAATCCCTCATCTCATGAGATTTCGTGTATTTCTTCGTTTTGCACGTACTGATTCGAAACGGTGGGATCACCACTAGGTGAAACAGATGATACGGTATCTGAATTTTCTTAGGAATTTGTTGGATCCCTGGTTGAAACGGTCGTTATGCGATCTTCATGTAGTCAGATCAGCAAGATTATTTAATTAAATTCGTTTTCATGTATTTTTGGGCGGTGTGGACCAAGTGGTTAGGTCACCAACATATGATCCGGGAATCCCGGGTTCGCATCGCTCCGCCGCCGCCTATCCTCCCTATTTCTGTATTGTCCCTGGCAGCCTTTATATGGCCACGGCCCCCTTCCTGAATGTTGACTGTACATTTATATATTCACAAATAGAAAGGAAGCAAAAAGCATTATTTAATAATTATAATAAATCAAAGAAAAAGGGGTCGCCACAGTTGCGTAGGAAAGTCAAAATTTTGTACACAACCACGATTACCAATTAGTCCGCGAATGTTAGTGAGGCGGATTAATTCGTTGTTGTTTTTTGGTTAAGTAGTGCGAGCGAAAGTGCGCTTGAAAACACGTCAGCCATGATTCACATTTTTCGAGTGACGAACAACATAAGACTTCAGCAGAATGGGCGTTGTAGTGAGCTGTGTAATAGAAGGGCCTCAATCAAACAAGTTATGATAGTAAATTTGAAACAATCCATTCGATTATTTATGGGCACCAGGAACCATTCGGTAATAAACACATTCAATTAGTGGGGAATTGCCTATCTTCCAAGGGGTGAAACACACACTCAGGACCACCAACAGTGCCTAATGCCTGCGAACAATCATTCCAAATTTACTATTGTTAAATGCTTAAACCATCCACAAAAGGTGATGAAAGTCAGTCATGTAGATTAGGATTTGAAAGAGTTGACACTTCCTTCACTACTCCCGTATACGATATGGCTGTTTTGAAAGCAAGACAACGTGACTTGGCCTCTAGTAGTGCACTTTTGCGTCCTCTCTCTCAAAGTGCGTACGGAGAGCAATAAAAATAAACAGCTGTTCAGATTGAACAAAGAAACCACAGATTAAAAAAAATAGATGGTCTAAAGATGTTTTCAAAAAAGCAAAGGGAATGCAGTTCAATCTCGTGGATTCAGTAAATGTCGAGCACGTGATACAATCAGGTAAAACGCTGGTCCCGTGGCACAAACTGTTTGAAGTAGGAGATGAACGCCATATAGAAAGTGCAAAGAAGCAGCATTCAAACACACATACACATAAGCCTCTGTGTTGATTTGAGAACTAGCAGCGAAACAGTTGATCGCGGTTTGCTTAAAAGTATACCGTGAGATCACATTACAGTTAGTATGGCATATATCTCATTCTGGCAGACTGATTAAGGTTCCAATTACTGAGTCACCCGACGCAATTGTTCATTGAATACACGAAGTAATTTAAGAGTAGATACACAACAATACCCCCCTCCTATAAAGTTTGGCAGAATGAAACTGCTAATGTCAGCCAAAAGCATTGCTACATTTATTATACTGAATAATAGAATTACAACCCTTTCGTATAGGTCGGAGTAATTTCTAAAGAATACACCCTGTGTATACATTTATGAAAACAATCACCAATTTGTGATAGGGCTAAGTTCTATTGCTTTCAGAATCGATGTAGGCCAAATTATGCAAAACAGAATGAAACCTAGGGACTCATTCATCCTGATGTTAAAAAAACAACCTAATCAGTGATTAGGCAGACTGGATTAAAATGATGATCTTAAAGCCGCTCAAGTGCATCTATCTTTTCACTACTTTTCATGCAGATTTGGTTTCCTTGTTCTTGACTCTGGCAGTTACTACTGGCTCATTAGACATTAGCCTCCAAAGCCTCAGTATGCTTGGGGGTGGGTGTCTAGGGTTTGGGCTGGTCACCCATCCCTTGCACCTCGCGACCAACCTTTACTGAGGAAGCCTTACTCACTGCCTTCTCACGGCGGAGATGTTTCCCACCAAAGTGAAAGGACGAACAGCCCACATCCGGGGCTATAACCTGGTTGATGGACCACTGGTAATTCGTCTAGGGGAGTTGGTCAGAAACCCTGATTCTAAACCAACCATGAGGAGGCGTCGAACCACACACAACTTCCTAGAACTGGCAGTATTCCGCTCACATGCAAATCATGGAACGTTTTCCTTTTTCATACAGATTACTGTACCATGATCTATTTGGCACAGTCTGGATTCAGACGTGTATGAAAATATACGTAAAATATATACATGACTCAATCAAACGGTTGAACGAAACACAGCAATCGCACCAGTTTTGTAGCAGTGCAATGTAATTTGAAACCCAAAAACAGGAAAATCAAGTGGTTTGAGTCACATTTAAACTGGGTTTTTGGCGCCTCTCAAAGATCAACGGTATAAGCTTAGGTATTTCCATCGACACTTGACTAGCAGCCTGGTTTAGGAGCTGTCAAGACTATATCATCAATGAGTTAGGGTGGAGGTATCTTGGCGTGGAAAGAAAAAAATGATGGTAAAACTTGAGGAAGACGAACAAAACGGTCAACCCATAACGGGTAGAAACGAACTATGTGATTGTGCAGAGTTGAGTCCTGTGGTTCATCAAACTTGTTGTTTCAGAGAAAGAAAAATGTCAAAAGTAGCAAGAATTTACCGAGCGTATAATTTCATTTCTTCTCGTTCTAAAATGAACACGCCACTCTCTGTTGGTTCGGGTGTATTGTTCTGAAATTCTGCGGGAATATAGAAACCCATTGTGAATATACGTTCATGCACTGTGTTTGCGACCGGTCGGCTTTCAGTGAGGACTGGTTTAGTCATTGGAATTTTGCAATCTAACAAGGGGGTAATGTTACTGAGGACGGAGAAACTCACTGGCAGAATTGCTTCCGCGAATGTAGCGAAACAGTTTGAAAAATGATGAATTCATAACCTCATCCATTTTCGATGCCGTGCTACTAGTGCAAACCCATTTTTGTGCAGGATATCTGCGAAGCTCGACGATCTATAAAACAATTTACGGTGACATCAGACTACTTTGAGCTTACATCATTCTCCCACTTCTGAACAACATCATAGGGCGAACACTCGGTTTCTCCTCCCATTTCGCTGTTTAACAGAGTAGCTAAAAATCAAACGTTAGAGTCATGAAACATGTAGGGGTAATTCGGATGAAATCCTATCATATCAAATCTGATATCACTGATAGGATATACACAGACCTTCATCATAGAGGTTTTACCTAATAGGAAAATGTTATGTTATGTTTTGCGCCGTGTATACCCGTTGTCTACTATTAGATCGCACAGCACTATATCACAAGTGCAAAGAACACAAGATATAGCACAGTAACAACAGTAGTACACGGGAAACGAGAACAGCGGACTAACACTAAGTCCGTGAGCGGATGATAGTTCTAGGAGCGGACGCTACCTAGGCGAAACAGGATGCACGATCGGCTATCGATCTTTCAGGCCTCCCAAAAAGAACGAGAGGAGACACGACTTCAGCAGCACGGGATTTTAATGGCATTGAGCACAAATCACAAGTCACGAGTCGTGCGTCAATTTACAAGTTTTACTCTGCTGCTTATATGTGACTGAAAATAACATTGACCAATGCAAGAAAACGAATCTATCAATGAAATATACGGTGAACAGTGTTCAACCGGCCATAGGCTGCGGATCAGACGAACGGAGAGAGTGAATATTGAAACAAGCCTTTCCCGAAATTAATTTCAAGAGAAAAGACCATATGGCAATACTGCACGATTTATGTCCAGGACGATTTCGCTGCATCTCAACATGGTGCATACTGCAGAAAATACGGTGTTTATATAGGGCTTTAGCATGGCAACAAAGTAAAGCAAAATACACTACAAACAGACAAAACATAAAAGAGGGAGGGGTAAAAGGACCAATATCACCAGGGTAGGGGGAGACTAACATAAAGCTCTTTGTGCTGGCACAGAGGGGGCTTCCATCGATTAATCTCAATCGCTTAGGCAAACCTTAGGAATATTGCGACTTGTGACTTGTAGACAATTCGGAACGCTGTGCCTCGGTCTAATTGGTGTTGCGTCAACAGCAGATGTCGAGGAATTGCTGAGGACGGGGTCTTGTAGTTTCGACCGTCGTTTCTGTGCAGCGGACTTGACCTCAATTGGGTCAGCTGATTTTGCACCCAATTCGGGATATGTTCCACCACCCGATTCCGTAACTGTCGCTCTGTTCGGCCCATGTAGGTTGCTCCG